CCCACTTTCTTACGGCAGGTGAAGCAGCGGTTCTTCTTCTTGCTCTTGTCAGGTGTCTTGTCGCTGCCCTCGGCGGAGCCCTGCGCCGTGTCCAGAGCCGCCCCTGTGCCGGGAGAGCCGTCAGGCTGGGAGAGACTCAACTAGCCCCTCGCCTCCCTAAGCCCTCTCCATGCCCCGTGCCTCCTCTCCCCGCCCCGCTCTCCAGGCCCCGCGCCTCCCGCCGCCCTCTCCAGGGGGGTATTTATGTTCCTGCTAAACTCTGTAAATATCCAGGCTCACCCCTGAAGAGCCCAAACCTTTAGAATCATATTAACAGCCTAAAATCAGGGATAATGGTCAACTCCTTCTGGGATTAAGAAGATAAATAAAGCTATTAGGAGTCCTGCAGGCTGTCAATACGACCGGCTCGCTGGACTGGGGGCAAGAGGGTCTCAGGCCTCACCTGCAACTCTGGGGCCACCCTCCTCTTCCTCTTTTTCGGCTTGGTCCGACTCAGAGGCGCCATCGTCACGGGAGATGCTCATGGCTGTCATCTGCTGGGTGACCGGGCCAGAGGAGCTACAGAGAGCCCCAGGGAGAGCGAGCAGGAGAGGAGAAAACAAGGATCATCATTGGCAATTAGCAGGTCACTGTCACGGGGAAGAACAAACCGAACATTATGAAGGTACCAATATACACGTCCGATTCACAGGAAATCAGAAATTACTGGGCGTGATTTCAGGGAGAAATCTTAGATTTGTGCTCCTAATAGTTCCTTAAATATGGTTGTTTATACCTGACAGTTATCATCCATTCTAAAGTTCTGAAAAAATACAGAAACTTTAAAAAGTACTTTTTTCAGAACAAGTATATTACAGTTTAGATTGAACCATAGATTTAGATTCTGTGTATGAAAACACAACTGGTCGTGAATTTGGGGACCGATCGGGAGACGACCGCCACGTCTCGGGATCTTGGGCTCCAGGGGGCCCAGAGAAGGAGTCTCGACGGCGTGACTGGGCACCTGGTGAGAGAGCGAGACTGCGGCCAGGCCATGCAGGCCCTGATGGGAAGGGCCAGACACAGGTGCGGCACTCATACCCCCTTACCTGGCCTTGCTGTCCTCCAAGTCGGGGCTCCCCTCCGTAGTGGTGGCAAGGCTGCCTTCCGCGGACACCCCGGCGCTCCCGCTGGCCACCGACGGAGACGCTGCTGCGGGGACAGGAGAAGGTCAAGCTGGCGCCCCAGAACGAGCTCCCACCCCGCTAACCAGCCCCTCAGGGCCCTCCTGCCGGTCAGCCCAGCACCACAGCAAGGGACTGACAGCAGGACAGCTGTCTGCCTGCCAGCGTCCCCGGTCTCCGCGCCTCAATACCGTCTCTGTCTGAACAGGTACGGTTTATTTCCACACTGAAAATGGGAGGAACACGTTTCAGCCGTCAAATCTTCTTCAGGTGTGATTCTGGCTCCTGGCCCCTCGCACTTCTCCCTCAGCCCCCTGCTCATCCTGCTGTGGCCACTGACCCCTCCCCTCCTCTCCACCCCTCACACCTGAAGAGCCTCTACAGGCAAGACGCTGCAACCTTTCTTCCTGCTCTTCAGCGTGGAA